CACTTCCTCTGGCAGCTCATTCCATACACGCACCACCCTCTGTGTGAAAATGTTGCCCCTTAGTTCCCTTGTAAATCAATCCCCTCTCATTGTAAACCTATGGCCTCTAGTTTTGGACTCCCCCACCCTGGAGAAAGACCTTGGCTATTCATTGTCTTCATGCCCCTCACGATTTTATAAACTTCTATAAGGTTTCCGATGCTCCAGGGAAAATAGCTCGTAGGACCTGACTCAGTTTCTCTCTCAACAGATGCTGTCTGTGCAGTGAAGTTTCTCCATCAGCTCCTGCATTTGTTTCCTCCTTGTGATCTGGACATTTCACCTGCAAAATATTGTTTATCAGGGTCTATGTTCTTTTCCATCCAGCGTCATTGTTTCCTCTGAGCTCTACAGCTGCTGGAAGGTGTTCAGAGGGGCATGGAATCTGCTGTTAAATTCCAGGGCCTTACAATCCCATGGAACTCTTGCACAGTCAATATACAATGCAGTAAGTTTTGGGATGCTGTTGGCAAAAATACAATGGGCGAAGTGGTCTCCTCTCAGTGCTGTAGACCTCTGTATGTCCATTGTTGCACAGGGGAGGCAAGGACCTTCAAGGGTATTCTGATTCTGTACCATGTCAGTAGATGGCATCCTTGTGCTGTCTGTGCTCCAATGAGTGACAGGGACTGAGGGATAATTGTGTGCAAGGCTGGGTTTACCAACATTGAGAGGCCAACACCAAATAATGGCAAACGTGAAAATGGCCAGCACCGCTCCTTTTACTTTGCAATTCTGCACTCGCTCAGGTTCAGTTCACACACACACAAACACACACACACACACACACACACACACGCTCCAAGATCAAGGTTTGATATCCCTTCATCACCAGCAGGAGGAGCTCACAGTCTTCTGGTGAGAATCACAATAATGGCTAGGAATCCTGCAGTAACTCACCTCCTGACTCCCCAGAGCCTTGTCCACCATCTACAAGGCACAAGTCAGGAGTGTGATGGAATACTGTCCACTTGCCCTGGATAACTGCGGCTCCAACAACACTCAACAACATCCAGGACAAAGCAACACCT